GAAAGTTTTTAGGTAGCTATATTAACACTAGATTTACGGAACCCGTGAATATGACGGAAGAGTTGCTTCAATTATACGATGGTAACAGATTTAATTAATTTATATCAAGATTGTTAATATAATATAATTATTTTCAAATTAAACTAATTGTTAAATAAAAAAAGGCACGTGGTTTCCTTTACCTGTCAATTTGACAAGGTGTCCTTAGAAATAGGTATAGGTATATTAGAGATAGCGTCAGTAAACCTAGCGTTAGGCATCTGTGATTGGAATCAGTTCATATTGGTCAAAAAATAATGATTTTCATAATTCAGAAAATATTTTATCAAACATTCTAACACCTTGCCATCCTATAAACTGTTGCACGATCCTAATTAACTCTTGATCATATCTAACAAATGATAAGACACTGCTGCCTGCTAATAAACGCAGGGATCCGATATTACAATACTTATTAATCAGGCCAACATATCACGGATTCTCTGGAAACTTTTCCCTAGGCATTCGTAAACCAAAATCCTAGAAAAACGAACTGGGAAATAAAAGGAGAAAGGAAATAAAAGCGAATACGCAAGAAATAAAACGACACTCCCCACGTGACGTATAACGTCCCAAGTGCAGCCACAATCCGACGAACTTATCGCGAACTTCATTTAACCCGTAACGTGGAAACTTTTTGGGTCTGGCACGATCCACGGGAACGTCCGCAGTGACAAGCACCACGCTCAGCCAGCGCGGAACAATTTCATTTATCACGAGAAAAATGCCGGTTAAACTCCACAGCCAGGCGTGACCATACATTTCTCGGGGTCCTGGGGGCTGGGAAGAAGCTACGCGTGTAATCGGTCGCGAATTCGGGCTACGTCGACCAACAAGAGGACACGGGTGACCGGATACTTCCTTCTTCGTCGACTAACCGTCGTTACGCCAGGTGTATCAGCGTAGAGACCGTGCCGGGGTCAGCTATCATTCCGTTATGCAGTTTATTGGACTCTGAACTAGACACTCGTGTATCTGCGAATCCATAGCACGGGAGTCGCGGTAAGGTTCCAATAATTGAAGCTGACGCGATCGCAGCGCCCTCGCGTCTGACCAATCGGGTATCGACTATCGGCCGGAGCAACTTCCTCCGACTGGGATGGACTGATCTTAATTACTTTTGCCAGAGTGTATCGGTTGAAAGTGAATTTGCTGTTCGAGTTCGGAATGTGATTGGTTAGTTGCTTGTTAGATTGATCGTGCTCGAGCCTTCTGTGAATCGGGAAGCATTTCGAGGGATTTTAGGACGTGGATATGATACCCATACTCTCTTCTTCTAGCTATATGAAAATCAACCCCGTTATCCTTATCTCAATATTCACAGTGCCCAATTAGCTCAGACTGTCAAGACTCTGTCATAATATGAGCATGACAATCGTCAAAAGTTGTAGATACGAATGTACAATTGAAACGATTGGATAGTTGCTTGCTAGATTGATCATGTGGGATCCGTTTGCAAATCGGGGAGGATTTGGAGGGTGTTTTAAGGAAGTCTTGTTACACTCCCTCTCCCTCTTGGACATAATACCCATACTCTTTTCTTCTAGCTATATGAAAATCAACCTCGTTACCCTTATCCAAACATTCATGTTACCTAATTAACCCAGACAATCAAGGCACTGTCATAATGTGAGTACGATAAACGTTAAAAGTTGCAGATACGAATGTACAATTGAAATGATTGGATAGTTGCTTGCTAGACTGATCATGTGCGATTCGTTGGACGTAACACCTAAAATCCTTGCTTCTACCTATATGAAAATCAACCTCGTTATCCTTATCCCAATATTCATAGTGCCCAATTAGCTCAGACTATCAAGACTCTGTCATAATATGACCACGACAATCGTCAAAAGTTGCAGATACGAATGTACAATTAAAATTGATCATGTGGGATCCATTTGTGAATCAGGGAGGATTTGCAGGGAGTTTTATGAAGGTCTCGTTACACTTGGACATAACACTCACAATCTTTTCTTCTACTTATATGAAAATCAACCTCGTTACCCTTATCCAAACTTTCATGTTACCAAATTAACACAGACAATCAAGACTCTGACATAATGTGACCATGACAATCGTCAGAAGTTGCAGATACGAATGTACAATTGAAACGATTGGATAGTTGCTTGCTAGATTGATCATGTGGGATCCGTTTGCAAATCGGGGAGGATTTGGAGGGTGTTTTAAGGAAGTCTTGTTACACTCCCTCTCCCTCTTGGACATAATACCCATACTCTTTTCTTCTAGCTATATGAAAATCAACCTCGTTACCCTTATCCAAACTTTCATGTTACCTAATTAACCCAGACAATCAAGACTCTGACATAATGTGACCATGACAATCGCCAGAAGTTGCAGATACGAATGTACAATTGAAACGATTGGATAGTTGCTTGCTAGATTGATCATGTGGGATTCGTTTGTGAATCAGGGAGGATTTGCAGGAAGTATTATGAAGGTCTCGTTACACTTTGACATAACTTTGACATAAGTTTGATATAACAATCCTTTTGTCTACCTATACGAAAATCAACTTCAAAAATCATGTCCTATTATTCAGAAATCCTCTGATCCCAATATACGTCTCACCCAATTTACCTAGATAACCACGATTGTGTCATAATGTGACTATGACAATCGTTAAAAATTGCAGATACTAATGTACAATTGAAATGATTGGATAGTTGCTTGCTAGACTGATCATGTGGGATCCGTTTGAAAATTAACCTCAAAAAGCAGGTGCTATTATTCAAACATCCTCTGATTCCAATATACATATCACCCAATTAACTCAGATAATCAAGATTGTGTCATAATATGACCATAATAACCGTGAAAAGTTGCAGATACGAATGTACAATTGAAATGATTGAACAGTTGCTCACAAGATTGATCACGTGGGAATCGTTTGTGAATAGGGAAACTTTTGTGAGGAGGTTCAAGGAGGCTTCGATACACTTGGACATAATACCCCCAATCGTTTGTTCTACCAATATGAAGATCAATCTCAAGAAACAGGTTCCATTATCGAAACACCCCTTGATGCCAATATACGCGTCACCCAATTA